ATCCATGGGCCACAGTTTAAACACTGCAAGCATCTTACTTACTTCCATTTTTGAACCACCATTCTGTACTAATCTCGAATATTGGGCAACGTATCTTAATCTATAGATGCTGGTCACAATTCTTGGTGATGGTTGCAATCATATTTGCGACATATAAAAATGGTTTGCAACACCTGGTTGCAACCACCTTTGCAACCACTTTGTTTCCTTTTTTGGATTGCAACATGGAACACTATCTTAATCTATTTTATTTTTTTTTAATTTCTTCCTCAAGCTGCTCTAAAGTAAAATTAGATGAATCCTCTTCACTAAATTCATCAAAATTCTCTTGAATGAAGTTAGATGGGACTTCACTTGATTCATCTTCTAAATTCAAATTATCTTGTTTGACATTAGATGTGCTTGATTGTTCTGCATTTTGAACCTGTATGTTTAAATTTTTATTTTTAAAGTTTTGAATTTATTTATCTTTATGTAATGAATGATTTGTTATTTACTTGGAAAAAAGATTTAATGCTAGCTGTACCTTCAGCTGCTTTTTTTAAAATGCTCTTATTTCTATAAAATGTTCTTGATGAAGAACCAGTATAAATTTGAGGTCTTCCTTCTGTTTTCCAAACATCTTTATCTTTACTTGCACTAATTAATTTATTAAATGCATCATCATCTAATCCTTCAAACATGCTTTCATTAAACCATTCATCACTAGAATCATCAGTCTCATAAATGAAATCATTGTAATCAATTTCTTCTTCACTTGATGCATTTTTTTTATTCAATTCATTATCTGACTTTATTTTTTTAATATTTCTAGCATCACTTAAATGTGCAGCTTGTTTATTTTTTCTTGGCATTTTTTTAATTTGTTAGTAATGTATTGTTTGTTGGTTACTTATGAAAATATATATATATATTAATATGACGTTGGTTTTCTGAACCAAATTTATAATTTGCTCTGGTCACAGTCTCGGTATCTTTTCCCAAATAGGAAGGATCATCTTGTGCCAAATTTCATTTTCGATAGTAAAATCGTCCAACTTCAAACCACTAAGGCTTTTTTTTTTTATTAATAAAATTGGAAAAAGCTCTCTATTTCATTGTTGCTTAGGTTCTAAAGATTGCAAAAATAGAAAGTTTTTTTCAATTTTATTAATAAAAAAAAAGCCTTAGCAATTTGAAGTTGCACAATTTTTTTGATGTCTTTAGATGACCTGCACTATATCAAATTTTTGACTATGCATGATTGTTCATCTGTTTCTTCATCTGATTGCACACTTAAAACAGAAAACAAATATTAAGACCATAAATTTTCTTATAAAAAAAAATTAATTAAAATTACTTACTCACTATCATCATCACCACAATTGCCACTGCTGATATCAGTTATAGTGACATTATTATTAACATCACAAGAATTTCATAATCTTTTCTTTTTTCTTTTTTCATTGTGCATTTGATTTTCAAGTTCTTGAACACGAACAAATGCAGCCTGAGATTCCAAAGGATTTAATTTGACTCCTTTTCTTACAATCACTCCAGTATTCACAATACTTTTTAAATTACTATTATTTTCAAATGAATTTTCAATTACATTTGATTTTCTTTTTATAGATTTATTTAATTGTTGAGTATTTTTAAGTGCCATAAAAAATGGCTCAGATTTTACAAATAAACCTGAGAAAGTTGAATTCACTATACCACGTAAATAAGCCACATTCTCATAAATGTTTAACCCTAAAAGAAAAGGAATTGAAAATCTGCCACTACAATCAATTTGACTTCGAAATTTGAATAAATTATCTTCAATTTTTGACTTTTTTGGTACAATAAAACTTGAATCACACCCATAATCCACCCATAAAAAAGCTAATTTGCAATCTTCAGTTTTTTGAATTTGAAACTTGTAAAAATGATTGGCATGTAGTGTATAAATGGTATAACCTGAAAGTAATGGAACCCAGGTTTTGGTACAATTTTCTGCCTGAAATCCTTCAACTTTTGCTAATAAATAAAATCCTTGATTTTCTTTATTTTCTTTATCAAAAATGGATAGATTACTGTGTTGAGGAAAGACTTCCAAAGAAACATTATCATCACGCAACAGATATGTATGACCTATTCTTCGAAGTAAAGTAAGATTTGGATGGTTTTCTTGCAGTTGTTTGTACCAAAGCATCTAGATTTTGAATGTGATAATTGTGAATTCTATATAAAAAAGCATAGGCTGAAGTAAAATTTTAAAAACATATAGTTAATAAACCTTGCTGTTATAACAAAATAAATAGATACAAGGTCATATTACATTCAAAGTCTGGTTAAATGATACACAGTTTTGGTTGAAGCAATCCATAATTGGTGGAAAAGGACCATGATTAATGACTTTTTTATGACTTACTATTAAGCGAAGACACAAATGTTTCGTAATAACACCCAAAGAAGTTTAAGTATATGAAACTTTGAGGTTTTTACTATTATTTTATTTGATTTTTGAAAATAAAATGAATGGGACTTCCCCTGATCACTTATACGTGAGTCATATGAACAAAGTATGACCATGCCGATCATAGTATAGTAGGTTACACTGGCCCCTATCCTTAAAAAGCAAATTTGAAGTTAATACTTTTCTATAAACAAATTATGTAATTTAAAAAAATAAAATTTAAAGGTTGGAAATTAGAACTTAACTATTGCATTTATTATTATTATGTAAAAAAAATTGTATGTTCCATATTAAAATAAATCAAGAATTATGTTTACAGTGTTCTTCTGCATCTTCATCAATAGTTATTACTTTAAGTCATTTCTGTTGGCTTTATCTTGAGGGATTGTCCTCTGCTTTTAATTTTTCAGGAAAATTAGAAGTAACAATTTGATAACTAGCAAGCATTTTATTCACTAAAATTAAAAAATAAAATAAATAAGTTAGTAAATGGAGTAAAAAACCAAATCATTTGAACTTCTGTTACAGAATTTCTTGAATTTAAACAAAAGTATACTTTGAGGAAAACAATAGATTTTTATAGATTTTTAACAGATTATGGAAGAGAAAATATTGTAGTATTTATTTAAATAATTATAATAGTAATTTTTTTAAAAAACTTTTTTTTTCAAAAAGCACAAAGTATCACGTTAACTCGTTTGTATCATATGAAAAATATATGAATTGATCGACAAAGAGGCGTAAATTTCTATACCTAAATTTGGAAAGAACCCTGACTGAATTACACAGCATAGTGGAAGTTTGTTGTTACACGAAACGTCATACAGAACTCATTACTTCTAAAACTTCGCCAGTATATATATAGTTGTTACCTCTCTAAATTGGAGATCCAGTTTATCACTTACTTTTATAAATATTGCCATGATGAAAGGTAACATCCTTGAAATCAATATTATCTATAACTGCTACATTCCATATTTTGTCATTTTTAAGCAATTTTAATTCAGGTTTAACTTTTTTCATTCGTTTTTCTTGTACTTTTACTTCATAATCTCTTGAATATGAGACAACACTTACTGCATGAAGTATTTTTTGCAGTGTTGAAATCATCTTAGGTCTACGACAAAGTGAAGCCATCACATGAGTCAACCATATTTTCCAATGTGGAAATGCAATAGTAAGGATAATTGAAGCAATAAACACTGTGGTCTTCAAAACTGAGGAACAGTCAAAAACTTTTGGTAAAGTCCCATTCTGCCTTCTCTTTCTTTCAGCAATCTGATGCTTTTTCTGTTTTATAGAACCAATCAAACCATTAAAAAAACTGGTCAATGTTTTTGGAAAAGCATTATGATACTCATTCAAAGAAGTAGGATTTTCTAAGATGGAAATATTTTGTCCAAGTTTTTGGCATGAATTCCAAATGGTAATACCTAATTGTTCCCCAAAATTTTTGTAATTATCAGCATTTAAATTTATTTGTTCTGTTGATAGGCTATTATCAAAGCCATTGTCATTTGATTTCATGGCAATTTTTATGAGTAAAAGGCTAGGTATTTTTTCAGGTATAGTAGTTTTATAATATTTTGATGATGAATTTAACATGGATGTCAGGTGACATATTAATCTTTTCTTTTCATCATCACTTCCAGAATCAGCAAGTTTTAAAATCCACTTTGCAAATAATTTTAATGTCAAAGCTGTGTCATCCTTATGCAATTCAGCACATGTGGTTTTGTGGTTTCCTGATCCTCTACATATGTGTAAATGTCCACCACATGTCTCAAAGCATTCTGTGCATATATAACGTATTCGGTAACTGCTTGAAGCTCCAGAAGCAAAATCATCAATTTCTGTGAATGATGTACAGGATTTTAGGCCAAGACATGGTACTTGAACATTCCTTCCAGCAATTTTCCAGGAATGTACAGCACAGTTATCACCTCTACTAAAAAAAAATTGGATTTTATTACACATAAGGCATTTTTTTTTATGTATTTTACTATCATCTATATTTCTTTTTTTTTTATCATTAGGATTATGGAGCTTGCTATTATCAAAATTAAAATGGCTGGTACAAACACCATATTCATATAATTTAAAATCAGAATTATCCTCAACAGATACATCTACTTCCCATGTTCCGAAGAGCTGTGCTAATGGTACTAATTTTTCTATTGAACAACATCTAGAAATCCCTCCACTTGAATTATAATTATCAATCACAACACATGGTGACAGCTTTGTGGGCTTAGAACTTGGTATTATAAAAAAATCGCCATCAGTATTATCAAGTATATGAGATTCATCATCACCATCATCACCATCATCATCACCATCATCACCATCATCACCATCATCATTATCACTCTCTTGTATATCTATATCAATTTGAGATTTAAATATTTCCTTTGCAGTTTTGAGTGCTAATTGATCTAAAAAAAATACTCTAGAATCATCATCTTCATCACTTTCATCTCCATTGCCATCACCTCCATCACTTCCACCTCCATTATCCTCATCTTCAAATTCACTTTCACATTCATCTTCTGTTGATTCAATTAAATTCAAGTTTTCTATATTGGCGAATCATTTGATTTATTTATTTTTAAAAATAATAGGATATAAAGCAAAGAAACCTGTCACTGCAGTAACTGAGCTCACATCTCATAATTTTGATGATATAGCTTTAGATCCCAATAAGAATGTGTTGGTATGTTACTTATATACCTATACATATGTATTTATTCATTAATTCAAAATTTTTATTACAATCTTGACATTTTCATTTTTCATTTATGTTAGGTTGAATTTTATGCAACTTGGTGTGGACATTGTAAAAATTTAGGTGATTAAAAAGTTTATCATCATTTTTGAAAATATTATTAATATATATAAATAAGTCGTTACTAATATTGTTATTATCATCAATAGCACCAATTTACGAAAAGGTTGCATTGGATTTTGAACAGGAATCAAATGTAAAGATTTAATGTGTAACTGATTATTGATTTTTCATCAATGAGCATCAGGCATATCATTAATATTATTATAATAAATCTACCAAAATTTTTTTTTGTTTAGTGTATTGTTGCAAACCTTGAGGCGCCTTCATATAAAGCAATTGCTGAGAGATATGATGTCAAAGGTTTCCCTACAATAAAATTCTTTCAAAAAGGTGATGACAAAACTCCGATTGATTATCAAGGTGATAGGACAGAAGAAGATTTTGTAAAATTTTTGAATAAACATTGTGGAACTCATCGTTTAATTGGCGGTGGTTTATCTGAAGAGGTAAATATAAATATTTTATATGTTAATATTATAATTTAATAAATTATATTGATTTTTTTTTAACTGTTATTGTCATGTATATTAGGCTGGAAAAATACCGGAATTAGATGAATTAGCAAAGAAATTCACAAGTGCTTCTACTGATGAAAAGTCTCAAATCATTATTGATGCTAAGTCAATTGAAAACAAAATAAACAGCAGGTATATGCTTTCAAATATTTATTTATCTAAATGTTATATATTCTATGATTTATATACAAAATATATCTATAACTTACTTATATATATATATATATATATATATTTTTCTCAGATATTCAAAATATTATATTAAAGTTATGGAAAAAATTAATGAGAAACCAAATTATGTAGATAATGAAATTGATAGGTTGAATAATATAATTAAAACCGGTAAAATGTCAGGTGGTAAATTAGATGATTTTACAATTAGAAAAAACATTTTATCAAGTTTTAAGAAAGATAATGATGCAACTAATGAACCTCATGTAGAATTGTGATGTGAGAAAATTATTATTAAAAAAACATATATTATATAAATTATTAAATTATTTATTTATTTTTTCTAATTTTTCTTGAAATTTGCATTTTTACTTTCAACTGAATCACAAGTTTTTCTATTAATAATTTTCACATAATTACGTTGTGATCTTGACTCTTTTCCACCACCAAGGATAACATTGGAGGAACAATCATTTATATTTGAATTAATATAACTTTTTAAATTGATTTTATTGTCATCATCATCATCACCATCACCATCATCATTATTATTATTAAGTAATAATAATTGGTTTAATTTGATTTCACCAAGATTATTTAATAAATTTGAATGGATATTGGCTTTTGTAGCATGAATATACCATTGTTCATAAATTTGTTTATAAAGAGTTGTAGGCGCATGTAATGCTAGCTCTTTGTCATTATTATTATTACTGTTTATGTCATCATCATAATCATCATCTTTACTATATCTCCACTCCACATCTTTATCATCAAATTCACAATTATACAGAACCAATGGAAGTTCATTAGCAATATCATAGACCGGCTTAGCTGGAAATTTCTTTACATCTAAAAGGTCATCAATTACAGATGGCTTTTCTAGTCTTTTACCTACTAAAAATAAAATTGACATTATACAACGAACCTGATGCCACAAAAAAGCTGTCCCTTTTAAATTAAACTCAAAAAATTTTACATAAACTTCACCATTATCACTACCACTATTAATATCACTGTTGTTTTTATTGTTCATTGGGTAAATACCTACTTCCAACACTGTCCTTTCAAAATTCTTGATTTGTTTTGATCCATCAATCTTACAAAAATTACGAAAATCATGAGTACCAAGAAACTTATTGGCTGCTTCTCGCATCAATTCTATATCTAAATTTTCTTGTACAAAATAGTATTTATATTTTCTAGATTTACAATTAAACCTTGCATCAAAATTTTTATTTACTGGTGCCCAAGCTATTATTCTAATGTCATTTGGTAATAATCGATTTAATATTTGCAAATAAGGTAATTCTTGATTTTCCTTTTTTATTTTTTTATTCATTTTCTCTATATTTACAGTGCCTTTTGTAGTTGATGTTGTTGTTATCGTGCCAAGTTTGCCACCTTCATTACCATCATCACCACCATCAACAACATCATTATCAACATCATTATTATCATCTTCTTTGATAACCAATGGCGAGTTCTTTGGTAGATTAGATCTGATGTTTAATGCAATCACTTGTCCAAAAGCACTAACACCTTTATCAGTTCTACCACATTTTGAAAACCTACAATCAGATGGATCACTTATTAATTTAGAATTTATCATTGCTTGAAATAATCGTCCTTCAATTGTAGGCAACCTACTTTCATCATTTTGAGTTTCAAACCCATAATAATTCCAACCAAAATACGCTAGTTTAAATGCTATTCGTCTTTTAGCATATTTTGACATGTCAAATAGTCTTTTTCTTTTTGTCAAAAAAATTTTTTTTAAATTATTTGTTTCTGTTATTTCTTTAGTTATTGTTTTTGTTGTTGCCATTGTTTCAATAGTAGTAATAGTATTATCATTATCATTATCATTATTATTATTGTTGTTGTTATTATTACTACTAGTTGTGTACATTTCATTCTGCTTTTCTTGCTTCTCCTCCTCCTTCTGTAGTAGTAATAATTGTTGTTTTTCTAAAGTTAATAATTTTGCTATCAGTTCTTGTTTACTCCAATTAGAATATTTTTCTGATCCATTATCAAGTACATTGGACATCATGTATCTTTTATGAAAATCGAATTTTCCAAAATTTGATTTGATTTTCCTTCTATTGCTTTTATTAAATTGCACAACAAAACTAGACATCATCATCATCATATTAATCATATGAACATAACGCCACGGAATAATTTCATTGGTGTTACGAAATTTTGCTCAGCGCCACACAACATAGTTAAAAATCTTTTTATGGATAGATCGGTGTTACACACATTTAATAAAAGAAGATCGACAATTTATATGTGAAGAGTATTGTATCGAAAATCTGCAAAATTTTTATTTTTACCTTCAGATCAAAAAAAGAGTTTGAGGGAATCCTTTGGAGCATGGCTCTCCATTTGGTCCTCCACACATTTGATTACAATGGTGTATTTGAAATTTAGTGACCAATTCATGTAACTCCTTTTCTGTAACAGGGTCAGGGATATCAGCACAATGAGTGAATGTTATAATGATAGGTAGGAAAAATGTCACAAAAACTGCTAACCAACTACCTTTGTTAGAAAAATTGTATTGTACTTTTGTTCCACCACATTATTATTTTTTATATCTATAGATAGAATAAAACTCATAAAAATTACTCAGATCAAGTTTGAGTTTTGACTTTTACTAGTGTCACCAATTAATTTTGGGAGAGCATATTTTAATTGATGATAACAAATTTTTACGGTGCAGATCATCTATAATCATTAATTGCTTATAGTAACAATTGGTCAACTTCAAAATACTAAAACAAAAAAA